AAAGGACATTTTCGGAAAAAAGTCCTCTTCAGTGCTATACCAGGGTTGCCACTCAGACAGGAGAATAAAATTCCGACTTTTCAAGGTGTGTTTCAAAAAAATTCCAGTCTATCCGCGTAATGCACATTGGCTGTGCTAAGAGGTAAATTAATTATGGTATTACCTGAGAACACAAAAATTTGCCAATTACATATGATTTAATCCCCCAAAACATTACTATTTTAACTATAATGTGAATTGTTTTCTCCACTGAAGACTGTGATTAGAATCTGCCTAATCTGGATTAAAAATTTCTTTTTTTTGGCAGACATTTTGCAGCTAAACAAAAGAAAGAAATATATTTAATGATATTTTTAAATACATTCAGGTATTTTATATTTATTCAGAAGCATACATAAGCAAAAATATGAGCATTAAAATCTGTGATGGTATGCATGATGATACTGCTAGAATTATTTTCAGGATTATACCAGAGAAAATTTGCTGAAATTTGAAAGTATTATTTAATAACAATAAAAGGGATAAATAAATTTAGAGGGAAGAAACAACATTAAATGATACAAATAACATAAAAATAGAGATAATTACTTAAAAATTGAATTGGAATAATCAACGATATTTTAGTGAATATAGTTATATTTAATGGTTAGCCTAGATGACTGATTTTTTTTTTTTTTTTTATTTTACTGCAAAATGACTAATAAGGCATTTATTAAAAAGGAAAAAAAAGGTTTAAAAGATTTTGTGGTAAAATCCTAGTATACGGTAAGGCCCTGGCACGAATTTGAAAATTGTCGCCAACACCAAAATGACCCGTTTACTGCTCATCATAATATCGCCAGATCCCGAGTGCGCTGTACTTTAAAAAGAAGGGAAAAAAAGGTTTAAAAGATTTTGCGATAAAATCCTAATATACGTTAAGGCCTTGGCACGATTTTGAAAATTGTCACCAAACCAAATGACCTGTTTACTGCTCATCATAATGCCTCCAAATCCCATGTGTACCATGGAGGTTAGAATATGATACAAAGGCTATTCTAACCCACGGAGTGTAATGATACGCATTCTAACCAAAGCACGTCTATATAAGAAAGAAAGGTTCCATACACATAATGCTATTACGCCGCTAGAAATCAGAGGGAAAATTCGCCGAGGGATTTGGCAACGGAACTTGGTGGTCAGAATTTCCCTCTCAGCGATGTGTATAGGGAATTGAGGAATATGTGTTAAGAAGAAACGTTCTTTGACAAAGGCCTGTCCTTTGATTTTTCGCAAAAATTTAAACACGGATTTTCGTAGTTTACCCCCCTAAAAATAAAGAATCCATTAATAATTATACTTGCACGAAAAATATTTTCTTTTGCTTTAAAGTTTAAAGAAATTTTAAACGATATTTATTTTATGAACTCTTGATAACGTGACCTTTGAACTTCAACACCGGCTTCGAGCTTTGGCAAGAGATATTTCGTGCATGTGCATGTGCAGCTGTTTCCCTATACGTTGGAATGGAGCCACTCCTGTTGCAGAGTTTTCCTTCTTAACAATACATATTTTTTTATTCAGAAGGGATTTATTCAGAAGATTTTTTATTCAGAAGATTATACATGGGATATTACGCAATCGGAATCAACAGGTGCCGGTATTCGGAGAATAAAGAACTAAATAAAGGAAAAGAAAGAGACTAATCTGGGGTGTTTCTGAATCTAATTTTCAACAGATTGCGTTAAATTTCCGGAATAGAATCAATTTTCGCTTGGGTTGGGTGGACCGCAAAAACTTTTAGTCCTACTCAACCCAGATTGGACAGTGACCAAAAAAAAGTCCGCTGCTTCAATATTAGAGATTTTGCAGAGAAAGGGAAGAACCTCCCAACCTCCGTACTGTATAATATATTGGCAAAAAAAAAAAAAAAAAAAAATTGACTATTCGAATACTTTCCTTTTATTTAAGCCATTCCGAATATTATTCCTTAGAAAGCTTGTCTGTGTAAAAACACACCCATCTTTGGAAGTTTATCTATACTTCAGCAGTTACTGCAACTATATTATTATAAATATTCATATAATATAAGCATAACGATCATAATAAACACGAATATGAACTGACCACGCGGAACGAGAATGCAAATTATTAAAATCTTGATAGAAATTCAAACATGTGTAGTATTTGGGTGGGAGGAAAGAATACCGAATGTAACGGAATTTTCTACCGTTTTCCCAATTCTTTGGCCAATAGAACAACATGCACCTGCCTGTATTCTTGCGCGCACCATAGGTTACATTAATGCGGAGAAAGGGGGGAAAAGCAATTTCCGGGAGTATGATTTACCATCAAGGAAGAAAAGTTGTTTATTTAGTTTCGGCTTTGGTACGGGGGAAAAATGCACGTTCATTAAAAAAAAAAGGATTAAAAAAATCACTAAAAGCAAAAAATAAGCACTAAAAACAAAAATATACGGGCTTTAAAGAAAAAGTAAGCACCTATAAGGGCCTTTATATTTTATTTTCAAATATAAGCACTTGTAAGGACCACTACGAACCCTGTAATTGGAACTATGAAAATTGGCTCTATGTCAGCTGCCAGAATGACGCTCACGCGATACATTGATTCGCCAAGAAAGTGATTGCTTCCAACGTTGGCGCAAAACTCGCTTTCTTGAAGGGATCGGCATATGAAATTCCCTGACTTTAAGATTTTGACTAAAATATTTAAATTCTCTGAATTTTTTGGTCAGTTTTCGAATTCCCTGACTTTTTTCGTATTCCCAGGTAGCGTGACAACCCTGTAGAGACACTGAAGTGTACATTTAATTTTCTGATTTAGTTATCTTGATATTTAAAGCAGATGGTCAATGCTTTAATTTCCCACATTTTTAAACTTAATCAAAAACAAATTTCCTGGGCATACTTTCAGGTTTTCACACCAGCTTTATCTCAAATTTGTTAGCTTTTTTTCGCTTACATACTACCATCAATTCCTTCCCCCTCCCACAAGCTCACCTACTACTATCAACCAAGTAATAAATGCAATCTAAATAGAGTAAAGCAAATAATATCAGGGCTCATAATTTGAAAAAGTGATTAATTTCTAGCAAAAGTATCATATATATTATATTTAAAATGTACATGCATTCAAATTACGAAAAATAAATACTCACTTTTCACGACTATGAAGACATGATGCATTGTTTGTTAAATTGTCATAAAGATATTATAAACTTGAAAATCAAGTTACAAGAAAGCATACCCATGTTGATTTTGTGTGATCAAAGAGAGATAGGATTCAGCGACTTACAAATGGAAAAGACGAAAAACTTTGGAAAAATAAAGTACTATTCTGGAAGACATTAGCACAATATATAAGGTACAATATGAGGAATACAATAGAAACCTTGAAACTGAGAAACTCAAGAAAGAACTCAAAATTCATTTAATTTTGCTGCAGGAGGACTTAGACAACATTCTATTTGAAATGGTGAAAATAACAGACGAGAAACTTCATCATAAAGAAATAATATATAGACTGCTTAAAAATAAACAGAAATTACAAAAGAAATTCATTAGAGAGAATTTTTCAACCAAAATTAATGTAATAAGTTGTGCTAATAATGTGAATATAATTATTGAATAGACTTTATTTGTAAATCAGGCACAATATATGGCAATGTAAAAGTTTAAGAATTATTAATAAATACTAGACAAAGACGTGGGCAGAACCAATTAACCGTAATGGTGGAGGGATGGTGCCCATTACAACTACTACCATCAAAAAAATTTATGAAAAGATAAAGATCTGGCAAGTGCAGAGTTACTTTGCTTTATTCCAAACCAAACACAAAAGCTTGCAATCGTAAATGAATATATTGTCAGTTAAATCAGAAGACTTAATTAGTGACTGCTTTGTCCTGTCTTTAATCTTTACATTACTTTTTCCTGGCTAACAAAAATAAAAGTAACATTTAGTAGTGGATTGAGCAGGAGATTCTAGAAATAAAGGCATAGAGTTAACAAACATATGAAACTAAAAGCATATTTAAAAAGAAAAGGTTATCATTTATAATATACATTTCAATTAAACCTAAGACCACAGCTAAATTACTTCATGCAATGGTAAGTACGACAAATATTACTAAGAGTTTTAAAAAGTAAGCATAGAATTTTGGATCCATTTCAATGCATGGCAAAGTTGTTTTTCCTTCTCCTATGGAGAACTCAGAAAAAATAATGAAAAATGCTTACTACTGACCTTTTTTTAGTAAGACAACCTTTCCTTAAATATGACAAAAATACAAATATTTTTCAACTTAAATGATTTCTAATCTTTCCAACTAATTTGTATAAAATAATGCCTCAGTCATTTGCCATTAATTCTGTATTTCACAACAGGATACAATTTCATGTTTTCTGATGTTACCCAAGTTCATTTTTACATTTTCCTTCTCCTGAGGAGAAAAGAAGAAAAATGATGAAAACGCCTAAATTGTATTCATTTAGAAAAAAATTTCTCACACAAAAAAATAAAATCCCCCCCTCCCACTAGAATGATCTCTAATATCTTAAACAGTTCTCATGATAGAAAACCTCAATTATAAAGTTTTTGCCAACAGTTTAGTACTTCACTAGAACATAATTTTTTTGTCTCAGGGTCCATTCTAAACATCTTACAACGCCTTTTTAATGGTATTGTGAAAATTAATAGCCTACAGCAGCCATATTCAAATCCTAACTTGCAAGGTGGATTAAAATCCTAGAAAATCTAATGAATTATGTATAACTAAGTGTCCACTCTCTGTTAGGTTTGCAAAATTGTTTTCAGGAGCTTGTTTGCATTTTTATGCTGTCTTACTGCCATCAAATTTGAATACCACTAGTCTGAAAAAATTAACACCTGCTAGAAGAAAACAGTACATTCCAGAATGCTTTTAATGTTCATCAAGGTTCTGAAGAAGTCCACAAATCATTACAGCATCTAATAAAAAAAGTATAAAAGATGAAATTTACCTTTAGACAAATTTGCATTACAAGATCTAACTGTGCTCTAAAATACTGCGGGCAGGTCTCAACTAGGTCGATAATATACCTCAAAATATCTTCCGGCCGTGCATTTATATCATCCAATGCATGATCAAGGAACTAAATAAAACACAAATAAAAACATTAATCTACAAATTAATTAAAACTAGTTGTGTAATTTACATTAAATTTATGGTTGCTGACTTTATACACATACTGTAAAACTGAATTTTTAATTACTCACACATACATTAATACTCAATTATTTTTTATACAAGTAGCATTTTAGATTATTTTGATTATTTAATTATGGCAAATATCCCTTTGCTCAGGTTTTCCTTAGAAAGGTATCCTTTTACTCAAGGAATATCTAAGGAAAGGGAAGAATGCTTTCATGAAGGACTTTCTAAGGGAAACTGGCACACATACATGTTACACATAGGGAACATGCAGACAGCCTCTTCGCTGGGGTTTAAATCACAAACGAAACCACCAATGTTCAGAGACTTTACTGCTTGGCCGCTGATGGGTCTGCACTCACTTTAGAACAAGTGTTCGCAATCAGGGAAGCATCGTGCATGCATCGATAGCAGATTTGCCGTGTATATTGTGATTTCAAATACAGAAAATCGGGTCACTAGCTATGCACCAAAACCGGCATCTTAATTTCCTCTTCCAGTAGAACTGATGGCTGATTGCAGATCAAGGAACATGCTAAAATTACAAATCATATGAATCTGACTGTTATATAAAAGAGAATCTTGTTTACATTTAAATGGCTAATAATATTCTTCACAGTGTTCATTAAAACCATACTTAATTACACAGAAATATATCCACTGAAATTAATAAGGAAAGTTATAAAAGTCATTTCAGTGATTTCCCTGTCTCTACCGGTAATGACATTGCAGTATTTCTCACAGATAACAGCAAACATAACATAAAATAGGAAGTTTGTGTAACATAATTAAAATTAATCGATGAATTATGTACAGTAAGACATTTGCAGCATGAAATAAATTAACAGTAAAGTATAATGTACGCTATATTTACAAACCTTATGAACATATTTCTCTCTCTTTTTTTGGAAAAAGGGGGGGGGAACCACAACCCAAATTCTGATAGGTTTGCCTAAGATAGTCCGATGGGCACTATCTTAGGCATAGTTATGATGGGCATAGTCCTATCATCTTAATTAAGATTAAAAAAAAAAAAGAAATTATGTTCATACAAGTTTAGACACTTTAGAAATGGGTGTTACAGGTTACTAGCTAGCTCTCTCCAACAGCCTTCTCATTTCAAATGTCCCCTTCACTCACTGACGAGTCTTTAGAAGGAAAGTCACGTCTCATTCCTATTCATTAGCCACATGATTCAAATATATCACTCCAATATGCATGGGGAGAAGTAATTTTTTGCTCGTATTTTTTTATTTAAAATGTGCTATATTTAAATCTTAAAATGTGTTATTTATTAGTTTTAGTATTTTTAATAGTCCATTTGATAGAATTTACAGCTCTTATATCACTATCATTCATTAGGAGTAGCGAACCAAGTAATAACTTCACGAACAAAATCATGGTATGAACAGTGATTCTGAGCATGCTCGTTCATAAGATAGGGAGGGTCTGAATTAAACATTGCAGAGTACTCTCTTTCTCATACCTACAAAAGCCTTATAATCTTTGACATTCTAACATTTTAGAATAATCTCTGAAAGTCAAGTGAAAAGTGAAAAAAAATAACAGTTCATGTACTGCACAACATACTGTACAATTTCAACTAAGTTAGGAAAAAAGAACCATTTTAACAGCATACTAAATAGGGGACCAGGTACTCCAAAACTCATTAAATTACTGATTTTCCAATTTTTTGCTAAAAATAGACCTTAATACATATATTTAGAAGAAAATCTGTAACGATCTCATTATAATAAATGGTATAAAAAGGCTTAAAATTTTGACAGCTCTTTATATATCACACACAACTCTGTGTTTGTTAATTTTATTTAATTCTGAGTTGTCTCGGTTATTTATTTATATCAGTAAAGAAAAGGAACATAATTACATGTGACTCCAACTATCATAAAACTCTGCTTATTGGTCATTCTCCAAATTCGGGTACTTTCTTGAAACTCAAGAATATTAACTGTTCTAGTAATACAACATTCATGTAACAAATTGTACTATGTAGTTTTAGATGGGTACTAATAAATCCCCTAAAATTGAAAATTTATTTTTAATTGTTTTAGTAAAATAAAATTCCAAACATGGGACAAAAATCAACTCCGTGGACTGCAACCAGCAAATAGTTTACTTAAAGATGTTGACATATTATTGAAACTACATGAACATTTTTTAATTAAGCTAAATTGAATAAATATGTATTGAAAAATATTTCTACCTGTTGAAGTTATAATAAATTTGGTAAATTTAGAAAGTTTTGTTCATCTAAAGTTTGCAGTCGGGTTCAAGCATAACATCCATGGACAGAGGGATTTTTTTAAAAAAATTTTCACATGGCAACACTGTTAATTTCTTTCCAGTGGTGTTGAAGAGAGGCAGCCATTTTGTGTGCATCTCTATTGAGTACATATATGAATAAAGCTTTCAAAACCTTTAAAATGTGAACTATTGTATGTTTTTTTAATCATGTTAAGTGTACATGTTAGGCCTAACTATAAGGTTAACCCGCGAGCACATGCACCGATCTGACGAACACGAGAACACGCGGCGGGTATGTCATACCCGAATAAAAAAAACTGTAAATAAAAATTTGCCGAAAAAATTAATCGGTTTTTTAAAAAGAAATTAAAATGTAAAACCAAGTTAATACTTCATTTTAGACAAAATAGGAAACAATAAGGAGAGGAAAAATTTACTTACAATTTTTATAACATTGTTTACAAAATGAGGTTATATGTTCCATACATATACTTTTGCTACAATTTTCACAAATGAATCTAATCTTTCTTTTTTCTTGGAGCACTCTGTACACCTCTGCTAAGTCATTTTAGGTTTTTTGGAGGGCGGTCCATTGTTAACATGTTCATCGGTGGTCAGTGTTCGTCCAGAATCAGGAACCACAGATGCTCGTCGTCGTTCATTTCGAACATTTTCTATTAGCTGCATCCCTAAGGCTTTGAGAAAAGTACTCATCCCGTTCTAGTGTGAAATTTTCTCGTACTTGAATACAATATAAATATTTGTATTTATCAACTACATGTTTTAACATACTATCTTCATCGATAAGCAATGACAAGGACTCTAAAGGTGTTGAGACGTCTTTAGAATACTTTGTATTTCCAGGGAGTTTAGCTATAATATTTTTGGCGCCAATACTAACATTAGTCCGGAATTTTTTTTGTTCCATTTTACTCCATTTTTTCCCAACATAGAACTCATTGCTACATTCCAGAGTTTCTGTTTCTGTATCACTACTCTATATGGATGAATCATGATTACTAATTATATTCTTCGTCATCAACATCTTCCTCTTCTTCACTAAATGAATCCTCATCAGAAGAAACTGTTTCAAGGAGATTTCTCAATCTTTTCATCTCTTCATCATAAGGAATATACGGCGCCATGCTTACAACTCAAGAAAAACTTATACTAAAAGCTTGAAAACGAGAAGTGCAAAGTGACTCACTGAGAAACGCCAGTACACGCGCAGGTATGACATGCCCGAACAATGCTGGTCCTAAAAAACCGTTGCACTTGCCACCTCAGGAATTTCCCCCATTTAAGTATATGATCTGGAACTCAGCTACAGTAAGTTTCGTCCTTTTATGAAAGAATGGGGGAGAAATATACAAAAAGAAAAATGTACGTGAGTATGACATACCCGCCGCGTGTGCTCGCGCGTTAAATCTCTTTTATAGTAATAAGCATATTATGTCAAGTGTAAATTTACTGGCACCTACTTCTTGGAGTTTACATATAAAATAAGTTCTATCGCAATTTGTCTGATATTATATAACCATCATTATATGATTTTTAAGCAAACAAGATTTCCATTTCATTGGTGTGATTCCAGCATAAATAAATTAAGAAAAAAATTCTAGGTGCCAAACATAAGAGATAGGCCTAGGTGACAATGAATGATGTTTCAACCAATTAAAAAAAAAACAGCTATGATAATGGACAGGGCCGTAGCTAGCATAAGGCCTAGTTGATTTTAAAGCTACATATCTAGTAAATAGTTGCTAATACTATGAAAAATTTATAAAAAATTAAAGAGTTACATTACAGAAACATGATAGAAAAAAAAAAGAAAAAACCAAGAAAGAATGTGAGAAGTACAAATTAGCAAGGCAGAAACAGAAAAGAGAATGTGAGAGAAAAAGACGTGAATGTATTAAAAGCGACCCCAAGATATATGAAAAAGCAAAGAGAAAAGAACGTGAACGGTACCATGCTCGAAAAAAGGCAGGCAAAATAAAATCTATTCATGAAATGACATCAGTCCGAGAGCAAAGAGCTAAGCAAAAAAGTTGGAAAGAATGTTTAAAGAAATACCGTGCAGCCAAAAAGAAGGAACAGTTACTGATCTTATAAGTGTGGACAGTCCTCCTTCTAGTCCTGTATTACCTGTAGTCCTAAATGAAACTACTGAATCTCAAGAAAATTTATCATCTCCACAGCCACAATATGCAAGTTCTGAAATATCTACAAACAGTTACTCTTCAGGAATATCTAGAAAAGTGGAGTGGTAGGAAAAAAGTAAACAAGAATAGGTCAGCTGCTTACAGGAAAATAAAAAACTAGAGGAAGAACTAAAAATATACAAACCAAAATGTAGCAAATATAAAAGTAAATATTATAGGGAAAAGAGAAAGCATAACAAAAGGAAAGATGATACACGAAATACTAAAGTCAAGAAATTGCTAAAAGGTGTGAAGGTATCTTCTCCTATAAAAAGGAGATTAGTTTTTAATGAAGCAATGATTTCCCAAATGACTGATAATTTTCAGAAAGCACAAAATAAGAACGAATCTAGAAAATATTTTCTCTGTTATGTAGCTGGAAACATTATAAAAAAGTATAAGTGCATGAATGAATTAAAAAAAATATTCAAAATCTTAAAAATAGAGATGGTAAAGAAAAACCCATGATTCAAGCCATGTTGGAGCTGATTAAACAAGATATTCAGGATTTTTTGGAAGATGATTTCTTGCAGCACATTATGCCCTGGAAAGAAAGATACAATAAGTAGAAATGGGTTGAAGAAACAAAAATGCTACTTAAATGATAGTTTGCAAAACCTTTAGAAGGCTTTCTCCACTAAGTATCTGCAATATTTTGTACATTACAGTACATTTTGCAAACTTTTCCGAGTCTGGTGTGTCCAGAAAAAGGTCGGTAAGCGAGACACATGTTTATGTAGCCTTCATGAGAACATGAAACTCACGGTGAGTGCGTTAAAGCAACAGAAGATTCTTTCTGAGAGAACCCTTAGATGAATTTTACAAAAGTTTATGCTGTGATACTAAAGAAAATATTGAGAAATGGTTAGAGAGGAACTGCAATGAATGTAAAAACAAAAAGATAAAAAATTTTAAATATTCAGATGATGACACAGCGTCATACGAGAAATGGGTTTTGAAAAAAGTGAACATTGAGGCCAAAAGAATTCCCAAAACTGTTAAAAAGCATTCTAAAGATCAGATTAACTGTTCTGCTGCAGAACTGGTTCGCCTTGCAATCAGAAATGCCAAAATTCATGGTTCATATTAGTAATATTTTACACCAGCAGAGAGAACTGAAGAATATAAAAGTTTGGTTTGGTTTATTAGATTATGGCAAAGCACTCGAGGGCTATCTGCCTAAAGGGAGGGATGCCTTCGTGGAGGACTTTTTAAGGGAAACTGGCTCGTATACACGTTACACATGGGGAAAACCATGAAAACACCCATGCAGCCAGCCCATTCGCGGGATTCGAACCTCGGACCAAACTACCAATGTACGGCGACGTTACTGCTTGGCCACTGGTGGGCCTGAAGAATATAAAAGACCTATTGAAACCCAAGAAAGTGTTAATCCATATGGATTTCTCTGAAAATTACGAGTATAAATACTCAAGGGAAATCCAGGAATTTAATTTCAGTGGTTCACGCCAACAAGTAAGCATCCACACAGTCATAGTTTACTACAGAAATGAATTGTCTACTGCAGTACTTTCCAAGTCATTCTGTACCTTATCAGAAAGTCTGAAACATGATAATAAAACTACCGCCATCTGTACCCACTTTAGTGAAGTACTTAAAAGTGTGAAAACCCTTGTCCCTAGCTTAAAAATTATTCATTTCCTCAGTGATGGACCAAGTACACAATATCACAACCGAAAGATGTCTCATTTAATTGCCACACACTTTCCATCTGTCCTCTCATCTGTGAAAGAAATAACCTGGAATTACAATAAAGCAGGGCATGGAAAAGGTGCACCGGATGGGCTCGGGGGAACTTTGAAGCACATTCCTGTGGCCAGGGGAAAAGACATTTCATGCTTCGGTCAACTTGTCTCTGAACTACAGAAAAATATTAAAAGTATTGAAATAATACCCATAAAGGAATATGAATTCGATACACTTCATGAAAGTCTAAAAGAAGAAGTAGCAAAATTTATAGGTACAATGAAAGTGCACCAAGTTTTGTGGGCCAGAGCAAAACCCAACGTTCTGCGTTTCAGAAGATTAAGCTGTTTCCTGTGTATGCCAACTGACATTTGTTCATACAGATATGATAAAGGACTACTATTGGTATCTCCTGATCAACCTGAATGTTCCAACTTAAATCAGCCTAAATCCTCCTTTAAGAGACTGAAAGTTAACGATATCTACTCTGACACAGATGACGAAATTCTCAGCAAAATTCTGAAAATGGATGAATGTAGTACAATGAAATTTACCTTTGACAGAAGTTAGCTTAATAAATGTATATGTAGTTGCAGAATTTACAGGGCAGGAAAAAAACACATCACTTTGTAGGGATGATTTTAGAAGAAGATGACTGTCAACAGGGTGGAAGCAAAACGTATCATGGTGACTTCATGCTCTAAAACTTGGAATATTCTGTGTTTGTCAGCGATTTTTCGTTTAATTTTACTACCACTTGGTTTTGATATAGACATACTGAATACAAAGGGCTGGAATAAACACGGTTAACGTTAAAAAGTTAAAAATTTATTCTTTCCACAAGAGATAAATCAAAATGCTGAAATATTTCTTCAAAAATATTCTAACAATATCACAAAATGTCAAACGTTTAGCAAAAAATCAATTCAAAACAGAGAAACTAATTCTATCTCACAGCGAAATCGCTACAAATCAATCACAGCATTAAGTAAACAAACAGTTCGCTAGAACTACAGCTACTACTGAGATGAGTTGTTTGTTCTCGGCTTTTATAAGCTTTATAATTAATTTCTCGAAATATACTGGAAACATCTATAAATATCTGGATTTTTGTGGATGGCAACAGCAATTACAAAAATTTTTATTTATTAGGTATTAAATGCACACGCTGTTCTATTTTTAACCTTTCAACGCAGCTGTCTTTTCAAAAATCGTCTGCGTTGCTAAGGCAACTTGAAGCAAATTTAATTACAATTCTATATTTAAAAAAAAAAAACTAAATAAATAACTATGAAATCCATAACAATATGAATTACGTAATAATTAATAATAAAACAAAGTGCATGCATATGCATGCACCAATATATCGTACAAAACTATGATTGGAAAACTGAGACCATGAGTTCGGCCACATTCGGCTATCGGGGGATGCGTACAAGTTCCGAGTGCACGTGTCCCCCCAAAAGCCGAAGGTAGCTGAACATAAACTACTCACACGCATTTGTAATTTAAGTAGTGTGTGTGTGTGTGTGTGTGTGTGTGTGTCAGCTCGCTGTGAGTAATCTAACAACACTGAATAAATTATCCTTAATTACTTAGCAGTAAACATTTCATTTTTTTCTTCGTCGATATGTTATTTTATTATTATATATTATTATTTGCCGATATATTGGCCGGGCGGCAAAAATATTTGTTGTGGGAGTTTGACATCCTTGCTCCAAAGCCATACCTCTAAATCTACTGCTCTATTTTTTGGGGGAAAAAATGAGAAATGAAACTGGAATTGAAGCTATTCTCTTTAAATGCATCCCACCCAAGTCCCTGATGTGTCTTCTATGGATTACTGTGCATCTAGACTTTAAAAACAAGCTCTTTATAAGCAGGCTGCCAAAACACTGAATGAACTATGAAAGATTGTGAAGGAAAAGTGGAATAAAATCAACCTTGATGTTTTAATAAAAGGGCTTTTATCTTGGAAATCAAGATTTAATATGATAGTTCAACAAAAGGGCTATAAGACTGTGAATATTAGAAATAAATTATTTATTATATTTAGAATATTAGAAAATAAAATTTTAAGGTTTGTTTTTATATATATGCAAAAACGTGTGAACACCCTCCGTATATGTTACAATAGAATAAAATATAAAATGTACTATTTATTTCCAGAAAATAAATCAATATCATCTAAAAGTATTTCAACTACCAGAATATTTCAGAGTTCTTTTAATGGAAAGAAGTATTAAATGGAAATTAGTGAGATCACAGAAATAGGAAGCTTGATTCTCTTCAGAGGCACATTATTAGGGTAATTAGAAAATGAGAAGCTACAATAAGTGACCTTAAGATGCTAATTTTAGAGAAAACAGAGAAAGGAAAGATTAAAATAAAACCAAAGTTTAAAATCATACTTACTGCAAGAAGCAGATTCACACAATCTCCAAACTGTTTCTGAACAAGAACCTCCTTCTCATGAGTTAATATAAACGATGTAGTAGCTTTGACAGCAGCATAACGGACCTAATACATGCGTAAATTTATACATATTAGTAAATGCAGAATTTATATTCTTGCACTGATATGTACACACTTTAGAAATACATTTATAATTAATCTCAAAGGTTCAACAAAATTCTCTAAAATATAAATATTTTAAGTGACTAGATATTTAACTATTGATTAAAAAATTTTTCTATGCATATTTCAGCTGTAAAACTTACATCTTCTGACGACTGATCACTTAAGCTCTGTGTAAGCATTTGATGTATGACATCAATATATCTACTCTGCTGGTTCCCAAATATTCCTGGTACAGCCCTAGATGATTAAACAATGAAATTTAAAAAATACCGTTGAACTATATATATATATATATATATAATTAAATTTGCTTCAATTCTACAAAAATTTCAGAAGAAAAGATGCAAATAAAGAAATTTCCTTTTCAAATAGATGTCACAAATGTAAGTAATATTCTCTAACATTTAAAAATAGGTGGTGTACTTAATTATGGCAAAGCACACTAGGGCTATCTGCCTAAAGGGAGGGATGCCTTTCGTGGAGGACTTTCTAAGGGAAACTGGCTCGTATACACGTTACACATGGGGAAAACCACGAAAACACCCATGCAGCCAGCCCGTTCGCGGGATTCGAACCTCGGACCGAACTACCAGTGTTCAGCGACTTTACCGCTCGGCCGCTGGTGGGCCCATTTAAAAATAAGCTTCATTCATCATATCATATATTGACATTTCCTTGCTTTTTTTTTTTTCTGTGAAATACAACATATATTTTAATAACATTTTAAATTATATTTCTATATAAACGTGAAGATTTTTTAACATTCAAATTTTGCATCAGGTGTAGTAAGTTCAAATTTATTTACAAATAATTTGATCACAAAATGATATTACAAGTTAAACAATTTAGAAAAAGGCTTTACTTTTATTTTATTTAATCCTAATAATTAATCAAAATTCTTAAAATCAGCATCCAAAAAGATTTTCTAGCATTTCTCTTAAAGTGAATGTTGTCATCCTTCTAACCGCCCTACACTAAAAGCCCGTCTACACGAAGCGATTTTCTTGGCCGACTTTCTCGTATAGCAATAATTTTAAGGATCTGCGCATGCGCCAAAAATTATTGGTCATGTTCTCTGTCGCGACTTCAGTAACATATGATAAAATCAGTGTCTCTAGCCAATAAGATTGCTTTGAGTTATCACGTGCTTTTCTCCTCATTTGGAATAATAAACATGGCTGCATTTCATTGGAATGAAACTAAAATTTTTCAACTAATAGATTTCTATAGAGAAAATGTTGTGTTGTGTGACACGAGTAATGTAAATTTTAAAAATAAAAAAAAAAAAAAAAATTAAGGGATTCTCTTATTTTGGTAAGCTGTCTTTCCAACTACTTTATACATTCAAATATTTTCTATTCAGGGTGAAAATTATTCTAACTCCCGCAAGAAAAGTTCCAAAAACTATTAATGATGCCATGTCATGGGTACTAGATGAAAATATTCAGAAACTACTTGAAACTGTGGCCGCACTTATTGAAAAAATTCAGAATGCAAAATCTTCAGTCGAGAAATTATGGGCCGATTTAAAACAGCGCACAAACTCATTGACTTCGCCGAAAATGGGAGTTAATCAGGTGATGAAGTACATAGCTTTTCTGACACCTACTACAATGAGCGGTCATAGCCCAGTGGTAAAGAACACAGCTGGTACATCGAGATCAAGGGCTCGATCCTCTACTTTTTGGACTTTCTCTGCACCTGCAAGAACTTTTTAATTTCGTTTCTCCATCACTAAATTCGAACTGCATGACTTAAAAGTCACTTTTTATTTTTTCGCCTACCTGGTGTGGTGTTTATCGATTTTTAATGCCTTTCTTTTTATTTTTCGAATGGCTGTTGGCACGAGTTTTAGATCTACTGGTCAAAAGAAAGTCACAAACTAATTTTTTTGTTAATTGAGTTTTGCAAAAACAAATTACAGCCCAATTTAATACAATATTGCTCAATTTTATTAGCTGATTAACTGATAGTCATATGAACATATTTTTCAGACTGTATTAGCTATTTAATTATGCTGATATTAGATTTTTAATGTTCGAAAAATATACTATTTAAGTCTTTGCACCGTTATGATATTTCTTATTTATAATTTTTGCACTGAATTACACTGTTGCTATGTAATGTGTAATTACAAATTTGTAATTACACATTACAAAGATTTTGTAATATGTAATCATCTTTATTTTTATTACTACTTTTTACTTATATTGATATGATATTCATGACATTATTGCCTATTTATTCATTAATAAAGGTCTTGATTTAAAACACAGTAGTTCTTATATTTTCTGAAACATGGTTATTTTATTATTTCAAGATTTAAATGCACAAATATTAGTGCCAGAAAGTGAAATTTAAAAATAAATAAATAAAATAAAATAAAAAAGAGTAATCTGTGTACTCAGTACACAAAGGAAAAGGATATATTTTTAAAATTTTCGTGCAAACTAAATTTAGCAAAAAATCAAAATCACGCGGTATCGGAATTCCATACCGTAAATACTTTCCAAATTTCACCGCGTCTTCAATACGCAACTCCCGGAGCAGGGTATTTATTACGAACGCACCATGAATTTCTCGTCGTTTGATCCAATATCTGGTTCAAACACGTTTTTTTTCCCCCTTCCCCCCCCTTTGTAGCAGTAGCTAAGTTCAAAATTGTAGCTGTATCAATTTAAAATAAGTAGCAATTTAAAATAGTCATCCATTACTTTGACTATTTGACAACACTGTTTTTGTTTACAAATCAGACAGTGTGACGCTGTAGAGGGCGGGAACACTTCCTTTCACAATGATTGGCTGAGTGAATTCCTGTACTAACGAGAAAATTGTTCCACGTGGACAGGCAAGCTATCTCAGATATTGTTGGCCGACTTAAATCGCTACATATAGACGGGCTTTAAGACATGCCTCACAGAAACTACAGTATATAGTGTGAAATCAGGACACCCAATATCTGGACCTCCAAATCATCAACAGTTATTTTCTTTTTAATGCTTAACACTTAAAGTTTTTTCATAATAAAACGCGAAAAATCCCGATTCTTAATTTCACTTTGGCATCAACCTGGCGAATCCTTATTTCCTTATTTTTGCTCTCATCACTGCATGACTATTAACACTCAGCAGGTTAAGAAATGATGCAGCTATGTATAAATAAATTTTTTTATTCTTAATATTAGAAATTGAAGAACGTAGTAACCTTTTACGTTGACATAATGCTTGGTGACGATTGCACACTTAGCTAACTCCACCCATAAGTACTTAGTGCACCGACATGGAGAAATTTCACAGAAATAATGTTCTTTGATCATTTGCTCAATTTGTCAAGGATTAGTATCTTTCCCAAAGTGGAGTATGTCCATTTATGTTCTCAATAACAATAAAAAGCTCTGATAACTGCTCGATCAAGCAATCAAAGTTTCTGATTGATAGCTTCATTCAGAGACAGATATATGCAACAAACAGAAACCAATCCTTTTATATTAGCCTGAATAGCAAACACATTAAAGGGATGTTACTAACGACAGAAGTAGCTATGAAGGTCTACAAATTTAAACAGTTACATTCACTAACAAAACTGTCCTTTCTCATAAAAGAATACCTCCTAAGCCAGGCTTTCAGAAATGTTTCCTGCAGTGCAAAGCATAACGGTTTAGACATATCAATCATGTGCTTGATATTCAAAAGATTCTGGTGGAAACATTTACAGTTTAACGAAATATGGGTGGCCATTATGGACGTTTATTTCAACGATGCTACTTCACTTTCAGGTGCAGGAGGAGACTTTTGGAAGCTCCAGTACTGCTTCAACTTCCATATCATCAATGCCCATGCTTTCAAGTAAGCTGTAACTCCCTTTCATCATATTAGAATTCTTTTGTTTGTTGGTGGTACTTCCTATTGGTTTATTAGTTCTGTTACTTCATTCTGGGTTGTGTTAGTTTGTTCTTAATTGCCCACACATATTCTAATTTTTCTGGATATTAGATCATCAGTTTAAATCTAATAAGATGGCATGTAGAAGTTATGTAATTAAAAATACAAAAACGTGATTAATGAAATACTGAAGTATTTATGATCTAAAGGGTATGAAAATTTACAAAAAAAAACTTTATAATTACATTCAAAAGTCATTAATCCGGATACCCATAATCCGGAATGATTTATAATCCGGACCTCAAAGATACAAACTTTCTGCGCATGCGTAATATATTTACGCATGCGCATTTAATGTATAATGGACGGTATAAGCTAAGTTAAAATTATCTATTTCAGTTAATGTTGAAGATTGCATTGTTCCTTAATCTTTGAATTGGATCCGGCTTATTATTTTTTGCAGACTGTTAGAGCAATTTTATAAAAGTATGCTTGAACTTTCGATTATGTCAAATAGAATTTCTGATGCCGGAGCTGCCAAAAGATCTACAAAGAGTAAGTATTTTTCGATGTCCATCAAACAAAAAGTGGATAAAGGCATATCCTTTGTTTCTCTAACCATTCCGAAATCTGTTTATGAATTTCACGCTGCTCTGCGAGGGGGGCGTCACGCGCGCAACAAACTGGAAGTTGATCTGTCAGCACTATCCTTATCTTCAGGGCAGATGTTTTTATTTTATTCAGCTTATAATTCCTTACTAAATGTAGTATTTTATCTCGATGTATTCCGTCTTTGATACGATTTTAATCAAATTCCTCATCATTATAAATATCACGAGTACACATCAAATAGTTTTCTGGTTGCAATTTTCTAATTTCGACTATGCATAATGTATGCTTTACCCATGCGCGCGTTAAAAGAAATGTTTAATAAAGTAAACAAATAACTATTAAGCTTTTTTTTTTTTGTAAATTTTGGTACCCTTTAGATCATAACTGCTCTTTATTTCATTAAATTACGGTTTCATATTTTTAATTTTATAATTTCTGGATGCCATCTGACCAGATTTAAACTGATGATCTATAATCCGGAATCGCAGAAGTCCCGACAAGTCCGGATTAAAGACTTTTGACTGTATTTGTTTACCATATTAAATATTTCTTTCAGTGTTAGTTGTGCTTCATTTTTTCTGTTAATACTTTCTCTTTAATTCTGCAGACAGACATAATCTCTTGTTTAGTTATATTGTTGAAGTTCTGTAACTGCTGTGTTGAGAATTCCAACTAACTTGTCAGTCGAAATTTTCTCGTTTTCAGTAACTTCTCTGTCATTTTCTTCACTATTGTTAGCGGTAT